TTTGTAGGTAGTATATTCACCCACCAATACTTTGGATCTGAGGAAAGTGGCTCAGAACGGTCAGAGTTCAGTATGACATTGTGTTCCCATAGTGACCAAACATCTTAGTTAACGGAACAAGTACTCTAGCTTCAGATGATTTAAATCAGGAAGGCAACTTTCTTGCCCTGCACTTGTAAGTAGTATGCTCACCCAAACTATGTGGTTCATCATGAAATGCTACCTAAGGCCTCGACGAAAGAGTTGGCAAAACTTTTATGGAAATACACCACTTATTCTGTGAACAAGTCACACTTAATCGAAGAATGTGTTATGTTGGGATTCCACTGGCAAATCATGGGCCGAGACATTCACCACTTTTGCGATTTCATTGCATGAGATAAAAAAAAACTAATATTTTCTTAAGACGGTAGTATACTATTATTTCATGTCATGGAAATTTCTTTTACGGATAGTGCTTACCACTTTTCCAAGAAGAATCCTTGCTAAATCGGCTTAAATGTCATGCTTCCCTAGGTTTTATTTGTTTCTTTTTCATTTTAACTAATCCCAGTTTTTACAAAACGTAACCTTAAAGTTACGAAACTTAAGCCTCACATATATGTGATATTAAATGAGAGTTAATTCGTTTCAATAAGTTTGAATGTAATCTCACTCCTACATTGTGTCCATATACCGCCTACCCCTTTACTCAGAGGTCCTGAACTAGCATTTAAGTAGTATCTTGGGGAAAAATGCCTATCCATATGGGTGGTATTCTGAGATTGTAAATAACAAGTTGTAGCTATAAACCAAAGAGAAATATGAAATAATGGTGGAATTAATTGGTAAGGCCGACGTCGGATTTCATTCCGTGGTACGATAAAGGATGAATAGATGTGGGCCATATTGGAAGTGCACAAAGTAGTTCTCCTCGTGACCCACAGCGCACCCGAAGGTGGACTGGCTCACGATAACCTGCCAGTGGCGACCCCATTTCTTTTCCATTGTCTCCTTCAAGTAACGAGCAAAAGTGGACTCCTTTTCGAAATCCTTAATGTTGCTGCTCTTCACGACACCGACAACATCTTCTAGAAGACCTGCCTCCGATCGACCCGTGTACAACACCTTGACACCTTCCAGCCAATCTGGTTTAGGTTGAGGTGCAGCATATTCCCTGGGCATATCTTTTGGTGGAGCGATTTTTCCTTTTTGAATCAGTTCACGTTTTTTCTCCACCTTTTCTCTACAAAAGGGAGGGTGATTAACAAGGTCAACAAAATTTTCACGACTTTTTGTACTTTTACGGCGTCTTATACGGCTGGTAAAACTGCCTTAGAGCTTGATTACAATGCATTGACTTAAAAAAATAGGTTGTTGTAAAATGTGATAGTTTTTACTTTACCTTTATCTTTGTTCACAAACTGGAGAGGTAACAACCAAATGTTTAGAAGGTCAGTTGACTCAGTCTCGTGTGCGATACATTTTGGCACACTACTCCTGTTGTGCAAGAGGGTTGTTGGGCCTCAGGTAGAGTTTCTGCAAATCCACTATTCAGCACAACCAATTCGCTCTCTAATAGGTCAATCCTGTGTGCACACATCCATCCATCTATCTAATTGCACACTTCGATCAATGTTGCCTAAGTTTTTGGATTCCTTATGTCGCCAAATCCACGGGGTGGGAGATTTTGTCATGGTTAATAAACGCCTTTCACTCCTCCCTTTCTACTCACTTGCATTAAATACTTCTTTCTCTCCACTCTAGTAGAATGAATGTCACTTGATGGCATACGTCAATTCATAATTGCATTTCAACAACTGGTTAATCAAATCTATAAAACCACTTAAATTGGAGGACAAATAAACTAATGAAACAATCAGTAATGAGCGATGCTAGTTCAACATTTCTTATCCTACATGGTCAGAAAAGGAAACGTACGAGTAGGCTTTAGTCATTCCAATTGCTAAGGTCTCGCACATATCCTCATAGGTGATTTGGCCAGTATTTCCAAAATCAAACCATTTGAACCAGTCCTATCGCATAATTAAGGGAGAAGGAAAACCTTAAACAAATTGACAATTAAAAATACAAGAAGATAGGTGATAACAATGACGACAGATTTACATCGACCATGGATTCAGGCTGACCGGTCTTCTTGGCATATTCTTCCAGTTCTTCCCTTGTTATATACCCATTGAAGTTAGTATCAATGGCTTCAAACATTTTAGCCAACTCCTGACTCACTGGCATTGACATTTTGCAGGTGTAAGTGCCAGACCCTCGACTGATCACACCGCACTGTGCGCACACACACAAGCGAGGAACCTATCTGGCTTTATATAGCCTTTCTTTATTTCTCTGTCTACGCACACAATCAATAGGTACTAAGGTAACCTCTGGTTGCTTTTATGCATTTTAGATAGCAATGAATCAACAATGTTGCTGATTACGCTCTGACAACTGCTTTAAAGGGGAGCATCTTAGTAAGGAGGTGGTTGCAGTCCTCCAAATTAACAAACAACTTATTAACATTTTTCTTACGCATAAATAAGTGATTGTTACTCACATTTACGGTTTCGGGTGGAAGATGATTTTTTTTCACATAATCGGCCAAGTTCTCTCGTGTTATGAATCCATTGTGATCGCTATCAACCTCCTCAAAGAGAGCACCTATTTCGCTACTGGATGTCATTTTGTGCCAATTTGATTTTTGTCGACAAACAGGCTTTTATGTTGACACCAAATGACCAGTTAGAGGACAGGTAAATACAGCCCACCTATTGCGCAAAAGGCCTGGACTCTCGTGCCCTTCCCTCTCACAACCCTCCCCTCTACACCTCGATTCAGGAATTCTTCCATTCCAGGGGGTGTACCAATGTCACTAATTGTGTCAGGCGCATATATCGTGGAAACTTGTCATCACTACTACTTATTTAATGGAATGCTGGAGTACCTCGGAGGCACAGACTACCACTCTTGTAAGAGACTATGCAGAAGTAGCTTTTTTTATCAAACCATAGCTTAACTGCGTAGCATGCGTGAAGCAACCCAACCCCATCACCTGTATGAATAAATCATAGAACACCTGTCACTTGTCGATCAGAAGAAATGATAATCGGCTTAGTTGCAAAAAGAACTTGATACCTAGAAGTAGTGATTACGTCATGATACTTAACCAACTGACAACCTCCATTTTTTGAGGCACGATTTAAGGTAATATCCTCCGACTTGAAAAGGCACAAACTGGCAACTAGGAAGCTAATAAGAGGCTTTCAATGCTTATTTCTGCCTCATTGTATGCTTTAGCAAACCGTTCGCAGAGACCTCCTCCTGCCCCGACTTCCAAGCACAGCAACACCACGGCATTTATCAAAACCATAAAGAGGAACCTTGGATGGTTTGAGCATGCATGTAAAACCCTTCCTACCACTTTGAATGCTCATGAGTTGCACTTCTTTCGTAGTATAACGCACACTCTTAGAACCGACTTAAAGTCCAAGGGAATCGCGCCGAAGCGCCCAGTACCGTCTCAACCGCATCTTGACAAAGTAAGGTAAAACAAAATTATTATGGACGCAAACAAAATCAGATCTTTAAATCATGAAAATTGCTAAATATAGTTTAGTGAAATTTCTGTATAGTGAAAATTTTGTTTTTGAGCTGTACATTATGGAACATTAGGCAAAATTTTGTCAACTTTTCCCTTTACTTTGACTCCATACT